AACTTGCTAAGAATAGTCAGACTGTTAACTAGTGAATGAAAGCCATCTGTGTTTTTAAGCTGGTTGTAAAGAAAGACAACTATGGACCGGGAGAGTAATAGAGGGAGCAGAGGGCCTTACTGCCTCTGCTACCCAGCGGTGAAATTCGGTCTCATTTAAGTAAAGCTGACAGACATAACTGTTAGTCTAGGAGAATATGATCCACTCAGACACACAATTTTGGCAAGAAAAGAGACCTCAATTAAAGGGTGGCTTTCAGCACCTGGACCTTTTGTTTTAGCTTTGGAAGAAAGACAGCCAAGACAACAAAGGGACTTTTGGGGTTATGCTAACCACAGATCACCCACCAAATAGTCTGGCCAAGGGCAAAAGCTGACTGCTTAAGGGTTAAACCTTTTCAGGTTTCACAAGCAACAACTCAAGACTAAATTCCAATGGTTTAAAGAAACACACACACAGAAAATTAATAATTGCACTTGTAGACACACACATTTTATTTAGTTCACTGTCCCATTTTTAAAAATTGTCGATTTATTTTTTTTAACCCAACTTAGTATCAATGATACAAAAGGATATAAAGTGTCATAAATATTTATAAGAAGGCATAGAAAACAACTGCCAAGGAAGGAATCCAGCAAAGAAATGAACTGTTGTCCATCTATGCCTGCTCAACTGTGCAAGGTTTGTTCCAGGGCAGTTTCTCAATTTTTCAGTAAAGTTTTGAAGCTTTACGCCTTCGATGAAGGTCAAGCAGAATGACAAGAGCCGATACCATCATGTTTCGTATCGAGAGCAGGGAAAGGTTTTACAAACACTCTAACTCTCAGGCCGGTGTCATGGCATCAGGACTCACAGGCAGAATGTGACGTCAGCAAAGGAAACACATCTCTCCTCCTGGTCTCCCTCAGGTCCTCCTCGCGCACAGAAGGAGCTCTTTTTAATGACACTGTTGGCACAACAGCTGGCACCTACATCACCAACACACAGCTGGAAGAGAAACTGGCCTCCATGCCTGCTTTGCACAATACAGATCTGTGAGGAGTTTCCCAATATTCAACAGGCAGGTGTCATGTGGCCAGTATTCTGCACACAGCACAATCTCCTGAGAGAAAATAGCAATGAACATCTCAGAAACATTCACAACATTGCTTATTAAATATACCAGTGTCCAAAGTAGATGGGAAATTGCAAAACCCTCAATCTAACCGACATTTCATACAAACAGACTGAAGTTTAAAGGAATCATTCCATCTTCAGTCTCAAGAATCCAATGGCTAAGCAGCACAATTCTTCTTTAATGGAAGAACATTAAGAGGACTTGTCTTCCAAAATGCTTCAGCTAAGGCTTTAACACATGGAATGCAAGACTTCTCAGTTAACCTAGCCACAATCTTCTGGTCATCTGTAGGAAAATACTACATTTCAAATTCAACTTTACACACCTGTAATCCAAGCTACTCTGGAGGCTGAAGAAGATCACAAGTTTGAGGTTCAGCCTGAGCAACTTAGTGAGATCCTGCCTCAAAAAATAAAAACCAATTTTAAAAGAAGTGGGGATGTAGCTCAGTGACAGAGTGTTTGCCTACATGAGAGAGCAGCAGAGAGAGAGAGAGACAGAGACAGAAAGAGAGGTAGGGGAGCGGAAAGAGAGGGAGAAGGAAGGAGAGAGCGAGTGAGCACTACAGAGAGAGAGGCAGCTAGTTCAAACACAAAGGAGGAGGACTGAGGCGGCGGCAAATAGCAACAGCTTAAACACCCAAACACTTGACCACTTGGAACTGTCCCATAAAGACACTGTAAAGGCTAGCAGGATTCATTTATAATTTAGTATGTGCTGGTTGAAGAGGCAATAGGCCCTGGGGCTAAAATATAAAATAGTCTATTGTAAAGATATAATACATTAATGGAACAGACAAATGGTAGACACCTATACCACATTAAAGATCTATATACAATACTGTGCTGGCTTTAAAGGACAAACTGGGGGACTCTAAAGGGGAAAAATAATAGGAAAAGAATTATGAAGGAGCATTCTCATCCAAAGCTATTCCAATGAATATCTCCCACCAGGACCTGTATCTACTAAGTTAACAAATGACCTCACCTGTTCATATCTGGGACACAATACACTCCCCAGGACAGTAATCCCCTGACATTTTGGTTCCACTTGGTATTTGACGACTAAGTTGCTTTCGGCTTTAAAGATTTTCCTATTATATTTTAATTAGCCGGTTAACACGGCAGAAGCTGCTCTCTCTGTGAGGCCAGACAACCTGCACCAAGTAATTCGATCTAATGAAGATGAACAGTGGAGAAAGAAGGAAAAGCTTCCCGGTTTTTCTTGCAAAACCTCTTCTCTCACTTGAAAAACTCTGCCATCCCTTGATGTTTTGTTCCAGAAAAAGAAAGCAAAACTAGTTGGGAAAATACCCATACACTTATTGTTTACTAGCATGATACAAAATAAATTCATACATGTTAGTTGTTTCTCAAAAAACCAAATGTGAATGTTTAATCTTTTAACTTAAGAACTGAATTTTTCTACATTCCTTTATATAGTTAGCATCTGTAAATTGAGACTTTTTTTGGACAATCATGCAAATTTAATTTGTCCCTGAAAACAAAAACACAACCTAACAGATTAACAAAACATGTCCTTTAGACAGTATTTTTTTCTGTGAATTTTTTTCCATTATTACTATTTTCATCCTGCAGTAAATGAACTGTGTTTTAAAGGTTATATATCTCAAATTTCCAGGGAACCGGTCTCAGAATGATTAGAAAGTCCAGATCAAGTCCACCTATTTTAATTTCTGACGTGGCTCCACTCTTTTTAAAAGAAAATTCTACAAAATTTTGAGTTATTAAGTTATAAGAGCTAGAGACATTTCTACTGCCATCAATGCTCTTATAAAATTGGATAAAGATTTTATTATACCACACACACAAAAAGTGATCGGTACAGAAAAGGCAGTTTTTGGTTATTCTGTTGAGAATTTCTTTCCATGATTTCTCCCATTAAAGTATAGCTTTCAAAGCAACCACCACGACAAAGGAAGCATCTAATTAGTCCATTTTCTTCTGATCCAAGAATGCTGAACATTTACTGTACCGTCTGTAGTTGTATCAGCAGTGTAATGAACACAGTTTATATTACTGAACTATTCTTTGAACTCCAAGAACTGTTGAAGTCTTTTCTGATGTTCTGCAGATGCTTGCACAGCACTAAATGAAACATAAATTCAAAGCATAAGCTTTATTTTACATTAAGCATATTAAGTGAACCACAGAGCACAGAGTCAATATTTTTCAAAACAATTAAAAATGAATAGAAATCTTCACTTATTTAGTATTTCTGAAAGAGCTGGATGAAAACCTTTTTTAATTTAATGAAGAGGAGGCTTGCACTGTGTAGCAACATGCTTCTACCTTCTAAGACCAAAGCAAATTGAGACTGACAAGGGAAGGCATCGATTTTAACCTGCTCTGCTGTGGAACCTGCTGTGCAGAGTTCCAGGCCTTGCAATAGATTTTCTGGATTTTATTATTTTATTCAAAACAGATTCCAACAGTATCTTTGAGTTGTGGAGTATTTGAATTGCCTTTAATATAAAATCCTTTAAACTAAAATGTTTGGTTAAAACACAATAGACTCCATTAATTGCTTTCAAAGGTAACAGCTTGGTGGTTTAGATTTACTTTTTCCCTTTGAACATAAGTTATGTTTTAGATGGAGACAGACTTCCCTCTCTACCCTCATCACTACAAAAATACAATACCTTGACAAAATTAGGGCACTGAAACTGGTGTAAAACTTTCCTCTTAAACCTTTGGATAAAAAGTGAATACAATCAAAGATTATGCTTTTTTAGTTCTTGAATAGTAACATATCATTGCCATTATACTATTAATAATTTTGCTACATTTTGCTAGGTATGAAATGCCTTCATACCTAGCGACTTTCTTGACTTTCTTGATCCACAGTCACTGTTAGCGCGTTGATCACTGAACACTGCTCCCTGGGGAGCTGCTGAAGCTGCTGTCTCTACCTCGAGCTCTGAACCCTGACCGCATTGTGCTATCCCCACAAGTCTTTCCTGCAATAGGCAGTGACCCATCCTTTACCCACAGCAATCTCTGTCCCTCACAGATACTTTGGTATGTTCTAAGCTGGACACAAATAAAATTTACTTAAGAGTAAAATGGGAGGTGGTGGGAAGATGCAGTTCAAAAGATACAAAGCAACAAATAGGTAAAAGGAACAAGTAAGTCTACTGATCTAAGATACAACATAAAGACTATAATTAATAAAACCGTAAGAATTTTTGTTAATTAAGTGGAGTTTAGCTATTCCTGTCAAATAAAAAATGTGAGATGATAGACTGTTAATTTGGTTCATTACAGTAACCAATTTATTATCTATCTGTACACTATGACATGTTGTAAACCTCAAATACACCCAATAAAATTTATTACTTAAAAGAAAGAAGTCAGTCATGATGGCACACGCCTATAATTCCAGTTATTTGAGAGGCTGAGGTAGGAGGAATGCAAGTTTTAGGCCAGCCTGGGCAACTTTGGATGCCAGTGTGTTGGATAAGATTTTATCAAAACAAAACTTAAAAAGGGCCAAGAGGGGCTGGGGATTTAGTTCAGCGGCACAGTGCCTGCCTGGCAAGCGCGAGGTTGTGAGTTCGATTCTTGGTACCGGAAAAAAAAAACAAAAAAAAAAGGGGGGGGGGGGGCAAGAGGCCAGGTATGGTGATGCAACTCCTATAATCTCAGCACTTGGGAGGCCGAGACAGAAGGATCATGAGTCTACAGCCAACCTGGACTATACAGCGAGATCTTGTCTAAAACAAAACAAACTGAGTTGGAGATATATAGCTCAGTGATAGAGTGCTTCTTCAGCATATGTTCAATTCCCAGTACAAAAAAAAAAAAAAAAGCAGGTGTGAATGAATGCCTCTAATAAGTAACTGGTCTCAATTAATTTTCAGGAATTTTCAAGAATTTACTTCACAGGCCGGATGTGACGGCACATGCCAGCAAGTAGGAGGCTGAGGACCGAGGATCACTGCAAGATTGAGGTCAGCCTAAACTACATAGTGAGACCTTGGGGAGACAACACAGTCTAACACTTAAGAGTACAAGACATTGTAGTTGGGTGTGGTGGCATACACCTGTAATCCCCGCACTCAGAAGGCTGAGGTAGGAGAATCACTGTGAGTTCAAGGCCAGCCTGCATACAAAGTGAGTTCAAGGCCAGTCAGAACTACATACAAAACCCTGTCTCAAAAAAAAAA